CCATGGTTACTGCCCACCAGTCACACTAAATAATAACGTACTACCACAATCCGATCACGTGACGTATCGAGGTGTTCATCTTGAGCGGCGTCTCATCAATCTAATATAGCGATATTACAGAGATTTGAATCAAAAATATTTCGTTTATGTGCGGCTGCTCCATGGTATATCCCAAATAGTACTTTACAGCGCGATCTCCACGTCCTATCAGTGTTTGAAACAATACAAACAGTCAGCAAAAACTGTTGTGTCCGCGTATAATAAAACGACCGATTTCAGCTAGAGCTACTTTACGCTACCTTATCTGAATCGTAATTGTAAACTCACTGAAATTAATAGCCAACTATTTACTTATTATTAGTTGTAATTTAATCTTTAGCGGTGTTTTCTACTGAGTGTCCCGCATATATCTATATATCATTTTATTCTATTTTATATTTATAAGTAATACTAAATATTCTCTTACAGATTGTGTTTATATAATAAATAATAATAAAAAAAATGTTTCATGGGTTCTACATTAGTTTATATTATTTATATTATAATTTCATGTATTATTGTTGCTGGTAAAGCTACGCTTTCTTTATAGTGACAAAGAAGCGATATTTTTTGTAAATAGCACCAGAATGGACGCTTTACATATAGTAAGTAGACAATATGCATAACAAATGTCTCTACAAAAAGAGCAGCTTTGAAAATAAAAATATAGGCGAACTCAAAAACTTAACTTTCAACTTGTGTTTCCAAATAAAGCTGTGGTTTATAAGCTTGTTCTAATTTAAAGCATGGCAAGCGCTTTGGTTGGTGTCACTAATTAAAATAAAAAAAGTGACAAATAACCTGGAACTAGAGCATTGAAAATTTGTGCAGCCTTGGCTATTTGTGGATAAACACGATTAGTCATCGCTTTTAATTTGACAGGCAAGAGTTCTTACCCTGTACTTGCAGTCCAAACAAATTATATACGGACTATAAACTAATTAAATAAAATTCGATTATTTCCTAAGACCACTGATGAAGAGTACTTGACAATACTCGAAACAGCGTTGTATGGTCAGCCAAATTTCAATAAAATTTTTGTATTTGTCCTTTCTTTCTTTCTTTGCTATTCGAAAATTCTCTAAAAAAATATTATAATTTTATTTAAAATTATATTAAATATTTGTGAAGTTTTCTTCCTTATATCAATAAAAAAATTAAATACTGAAATAAATTTAATTGATTGATTTAAAAAAAAAAGAAGAAACAGTAAATTGTAAAAGTGAAGTTTTTGGAGTAAAAGAGAAATGTTAATAAATGTATTGTTAATTTGTTAAAAAGCCAAACTGCTAATTGTACAAGAAGTAATAGCCAGCACTTTTGCAATCAAATATAAATAATGATGATCCAAAAGAAGTACTGTCATTGCAAATGATGATAGACTTAAATATCAAAAACAACAAACAGTAAAACTATTAAAAATTAAATTTGGTCTTTCAAACTCTCTAATTTCAATATTATTATTCAAAAATAACACAGTACTTTCTCCTCAAAAAAATGAAAATGTTATTGATTCCTAAAGTAAGATTACAAGAACATGTTGTAAATGTTGCGTACCGTTTTGAGATATGTTTTTTTGAAATTTAACGGTTAAATATTAGTACTTAAATATAAACAATCTTAATTGTTTAAACAATTTCTTAAAAGTTCAACCAATTATCTTTAAAACGCAATAAATTTCAAGTTTCTACCTTTTATAGAACTTGAGATATAGCCATTTGAAAATGTGTCTACAATGCCAATTCTCAAAACCCCTTGGGTCCATATCTCCTAGGAAAAAAATTACAAAATTTTTTCCCGAGATACGGGTCTTCTTATTTTATGAAAGGAGCTCATAAAAAAAATTTCAGCCAAATCGGAGGTGATGAGGTCAAAAAGGTGTCCGGTTTGTAAAAGAATGACCCATATACAGTGTTGTGCATAACAAAAGCAACCAAAATGAGCACATCAAATAAATAAGTTTTTTGTCTACTTTTAACTTCAAAAACTTAAATACAGAGTTTTATTTGTTATAGTATTAGCTATTATAAAAAAACAACAAAATCTACAATTTTTCATAACGGGTTAAATAATTCACATAAATAATCAAATATTGCAAAATGAAGATGTGCAAAACAATAGCAACCGACACAAGATCAATATAAAAATCTATGAGCAAAGTGCAATCGAACAAGATATTTGTTTGGTTTTTTGCATTTTTATGCTGTGTTTTATGTTTTTAAGCAAATTAGAACATAAACATAAAGTTCAATATTAAGTCAGTTAATGGATGCGGGTTTTATCATGACTCGTGATATGTTTACTTTGAAGTTTAAAGAAACAAGAATGTTTAAATGGCAGTACTCAATTGAAATAGCAAAAATATTTAAAACTGGTAAGTTTATTGTTTCGTGGCTCTTAAAAAAATATAACTTGACAAATTCCGTTAAAACGGTTTAATTTGTGAAGCCCCTCTTAAGACTACTCGTAGAATTTATCGAAACATCATAAGAATTACAAAAAAAAAACATTTATATCTTCGTAAAAGATCGTAGATGAGCTTATACTGAGGACTTTAGTATTGTACGCAGGTATACTTTAGAAGCAGGTGTCAAAAGTTAGAGACCAGTCAAAAAACCAATGTTAACTAAAAAGCATTTGCAAAACAGCTAATTTTTTTCTTTTGCTCTAATTAATATTTATATTAATATTAATTAATATTAATTTTGTGTGGAATCACATAAATTGAACTCTTGATAAATGAAAGACAATTTTTTTCAGCAATAAATCGAAATTCAATATCTCTAATTGTGATGGGATGTGCACAGTACGTCGCGAAAAAGAAAAACGTTTGTGTCCGCGTAACTGCCATGCGACGGTGAAACATGGAGATGGGTCAGTAATGGAGATTGGGCGAGCTTCTTAGGATTTCGAATTGGACCTTTTCATGAAATTCATCAAAAAATGAACCACCATGTGTACAAAGATATTTTAGAAAGCCAGTAATGAATTGGGCGTGCTTCTCAGGATTTCGACTTAAACCTTTTCATAAAATTCATCAAATAATGGACCAACATGTGTACAAAGATATTTTAGAAAGCCATATGGTCCCCCATGGCAAATGAGAAAAGCCACTCCGATAAGTATATCAGTACGATAACGACCCAAAACATATTTTAAAGCTGGTAAAAGAATGGATTTTGAACAATGGAATACCAAATTTAGATTAACCAGTCTAATCGGCTGATTTAAATTAAATTGAGAACATGTTGTTGTTCTCAAACTTCGCTTTGGGAATCAAAAATTTCCCAAATGCTTGAAGCCATGAAATGTATATAATAAATAAAGTTGTTATTGTTTAACATTGTTTAGCTGCATTTTGCAATATTTCGTTATTTTTGTGAATTATTTCACCCGTTATAAAGAATTGTAGATTTTGTTGTTTTTTTATAATCAGGCCTATTCTGAATACTCCCAGCGAAAAAACTCCCTATTCCCACGCTGTTCCCGAACACACAGCTCCCTTATTCTGAATCGCTAGGGAGACAGCAGTTTCGTGAACAACAACAATTTCAAATTTGTTTTGTTAAATTTTGGCAACCATGCCACTTTTTAATGACGAAAAGTGAGAAAATGAGCAAATCAAAGAAAAGAATTGCGTATCATATGTTGATTTAAATGTTAAAATCGCATTATTTGTTTGTTGCACAAATGATCGGAAATAAATATAAGTTATTTTATGAGTAAATAATAAATAATAAAAAACTTTTATTTTAATGAGTAAAATAAATAAATAAACCAAATGCTTTCTAAATTTTTAACTCTTTTTTAAACTAATTAAAAAACAACCTTACGTTATGATATCAATTCTTCAATGTCTTTATTTTCAAACATTCACTGCTTTTATACAAAATTTGCGTAAATTATAATTTAATTTTTTTATATAATTAGGATAGAAATGTCCTTCATGATCCAATTAATGAACTAATAAGAGTTTATAATTGTGCAGATCTTACAATAAAAAAGAAGCAATGTTTTGCCTGAACATAATTGCAGTTTTAACTTATTTTAACTTATTCTAGGAATCCACTTATTTCAGAATTTGATTTTCTTTCATTTTTCTATTGTTTTAAAAACAATAGTTAACACTTTAATTAGTGGAAAAAACCCGTGTGAATAAAATAAATAAATAAAAATTTAAATATTTCAAATTTGTTATACTTTTATTAAAATAATAATTTTAATAAAATATATTAAATGAAAATTTTGTTATATTCAATTTATTAAAATATATTCGGAAAACTAATCAAAAAATAAAACTTTGAAAATATTAAATTTATTGTAATAATTTTATTAAAATATATTCAAAAATCTGATCATTTTCAGTTACTTTTATATTAAATTAAACCATTTTTAATACTTTTTTAACTTGTGTCCCCAACAATTTGGTAGGGAGAGAATTTGTGCAAAATTAGGAAAAAACTCCCATTCGCATGCGATTCAGAATAGGGGAATTGGGAACAGGGAACATACCAAATTTATTCAGAATAGGGGAATTGGGAACAGGGAACAAACTCGCATTCCCTTGCGATTCAGAATAGGCCTGAATAGCTAATACAATAACAAATTAAACGCTGTATTTGAGTTTTGAAATGAAAAGTAAAAAGTAGACAAAAAACTTATTTTTTTGATGTCCTCATTTTGGTTGCTTTTGTTATGCACAACACTGTATGTATATTATATATAAATTTTTGACGTAAAATTTCACTTTCTATTTAAATGTTGTTGTGATAATTCATTTCTTACCAATTATCAGAATGTTTCGCTAGAAATAACTAAACTGCCCAACTGCTACAACAAAATATATCATTTATGAAAAAGTAAGCATTTTGTTTAAAATAACTAATCCACAATATTCAATTATAGCTCTTACATATTACATCAAAAATTGTTTTAAAATTAAACTATAGACGATTACTTACATTTTGGTGTGACCTATTGAAAGGTAAGAAACTACCAGGAAAATGTTTAGCTAAAACAAAAAGCAGGTCCATACAATTTTTCAAAATAATTTGTGCTGCTTGGGGATTTATATTTATACAATGATGTACGGTCGTAGAATTATTACTACTAGGTTCTTTCGCTTGATTTATAACAAAAATGTTTGATTTATATCCAAATGCTGCATCTACACACAATTTGAGCCATTGAGGTCTTATTCCATTCTTGCAGCAAAAATTAATATCGGTATCATTTGTTTTTTGAATAATACTTATAAGTGCATTTATAATCCATTCACGAGTGGGTACGTGATAACAAAGATTTCGCACTACTCTGTGCAGGCGAGTTAAATTAGATTTAGAATCTTCAATAAATAATAGCAGAAGAATTGTTGTGAGTGAATCGGGGTCAAGTAAATTGCCTTCATCTTCCATTAAAACAAGTGCAATTGGTTTTCCAGGAATTTGTTGTTGTTGATGAACAACTGTAGCATTTCTATTATGTTGCGCTGGCGAAGTACTATTTGGATCATACCAAATTGAATTCATATGCCAACGAGAATCATCATTAACATTACGTAGTGTTGAAGGCATTCGAGTTGATATATATCCACCTGAATAATAAAAAACAAATTTGAGGTTTAATTTTCATAAATTTCAAACATTGAATTATTTATTTGCTTATGAATTACTGATATGTTAAATTAGTAAAAACGAAAGCTATTCATTAAACAATTTTTCATACATACACTGCTACTCCGGTAACAGTTATTAATTTTAACTCAGTCATTATTAAGACATTTCTCTCAATTATGCTGTTTCAGTCTTAACTGGCGCAATGTTATGACGATGGAAATAGTGGATCATAAAAACTTGACAAGACAATAATAATGCTATGATATAATAAATAAATAAGTAAACCATAAAGTAAAACTAATTTTTTATTGGGCTGTATAAAAAGTTTCCTCCAAACAAAAATTTTCTTTATTGAAAATTATTTATTATTAAGTTTATATTGACCATTGTTATTTATAATCGCTTAGTTTTTTCGATTCAAAAGAACATTGATGCCGTGCGTGAACTGATAATGCAAGATCGTCATGTGACATACCGTGAAATAGAGGCATTCTTGGGTATTTCTCCCACCAGCATATATTCGATATTGCATGAACACCTGGCCGGAAAAAAGGTTTGTTATTGTTGGATTCCGCACAATTTGACAATCGCTCAAAAAAAAGCTCGTGTCGATTGGTGCAAAAAAAATGTTGAAAAAATACGTTCGCGTATTGAAAAAATACGTTATAAGATCGTCACAGGTGACAAATCATGGATCTATGTGCATGGGCCTGAAACAAAACAACAATCGACCATGTGGGTCTTCGAAAACGAGCCAAATCTAACGAAAGTTGTTCGTGAAAGAAGCACTTCGAAGCAAATGGTCGCCTGTTTCTTCAGCAAAATTGGTCATGTGGCGACTGTTCCGCTTGAGCAACGAAGGACTGTCACTTTTGAGTGTCACCTGAAGTCTTCGGAGAAATTCGAAAAGCGAACAAGAGAAGACGAATCATTGTTCACCATGACAACGCGAGCTCTCACACATCGGCTTAAAGCAGCACCTTTTTGACCGACCAAAACGTCGAATTGATGGGTCATCTGCCGTACAGTCCTGACTTGGCACCCAATGACTTCTATTTAATCCCGCACATCAAAAAAAAAATACGTGGTCAACGATTTTTGTTGCCAGAAGATGCTGTTGAAGCGTTCAAAAACCATGTTTTGGAGGTGTTTCAATCGGAGTGGAAAAAGTGCTTTGACAATTGTGCACATGCAAAAGTGTATAAATCACGCTGGAGAATACTTTGAAAAAAAATAAAACAATTTTTGATGATAAATATTCGCATTTTCATTATTAGGTTAGAAATATATATAGCAGCCCTCGCATAACTTCCGTGGTTTATCGGAGAAAAACTTCATTAATTCATTTTCAGCACTCGCCCAATTTTTTACCATTAAGACAGTTTTGCAGAGACCGAAATAAATGATAGCTAGATGTTCATAGGTCAGGGGTATACGGTTGATATATTTCTTATTAAGTTTTGTCAATTTGATCTGAGACAACAAAAATATGTGTGGACTGTCATTACCATGATTCAACTTTTTCTTTGTTAGCTAATTCTAGTCGTATTTTTTCGATTGCTGCATTCCAGTGAGCAGTAGAGGGGCATATACACCGTTGCAACAGGCTAAAGTGGTTCATAATAGACAAATTTTTCCAATCCCAGCAAACACTCAAAAAAAACCATCTTTAGTGTTTCTGAAGGTTAAATATTTTCATATTTAATCCAGTATTTATCGCAACTCATTGTTTTAAAAATGATTCGATTTCGTTGCGTTTTACTGATGGTAAATCGGTCATTTAAATTTCTTTGCATTATTTCATGTGATAACTGATTTCACACTTTTATGTGCTTGATGTTTAATACCTATGCTATCTATTGACATCTTGCGTGATGGTCTTGCTCAACTAATTATAAAATTTTATTGGCTTGTTTTGTGACTGGACGATCAAGTGTCATTTTTGATAGGTGAGGTCTATTACAAATGTTGCCAATTAGGCATCTTAGAACATGAAATTGATCCAATTTCTAACGTAAATTTAGGCAATTAGTGAAGTCAGTCAAAAAGTTAAGTTCGATACATAATCTGATGTCCACTGTTCTTAGGTTGAACACGAAATTAAATGGTAGCTTTAATTTATCATGACCAGTTCGAAAAGGCGTTAGTCTAAAAACCGGTAACCTGGTGGGGATCGAAACTATAAGAACTTTCACGAAAAGAAATCTTGATTGAATTTCCTCACAATAGAGCCTGCTCTATAGACACGTCTTATTATTTATATTTCATAGGGAATGGACCGATCTATTATCATTCATGTAATCTTATTACCTGTACAGAAATAATTGACTATACTAGGAAAGAGTATGTGTTACAAAATAGTATTTAAGGAATAGAATTAAAATGGCATTGCGCCACTCGAGCCAAGTTGGTTTTCAGTACAAAAAACGGAAATTTTTCAATTCAAGGTCATGTTTTATCTTTCTTACTTATTTCAATAACTATTAATATATACTCATTTAATAGATAATTTTTAATTTCTTTTTAATAAGAGATTGATAAGCAAAATCGGGTAAAAATTATGCGCAAAACACTATAATTAGTTAAACGACTGTGCTCTGTTTTCTATTTCATAAGTTTTAGCTCGCATGCACAATTTCGTTGTGCATGCCGTAATACACATTACGATTTAGTTAATAAAAAACAAAAAATCTTTTTTTTCAGTAATCAATATATTGTGGTTATAATGTTTTATAACTTAAATCTGACTTGATATGTGAAGGATATATAATTTCTATGATAATGTTCGAGTTTTTGCAGAGGAAAAACAATATGTTTGGTTTTCCTCTATATTTTTTTGTCAAAATCGAAATATAAGCCTAACTCCTCTTTCTGCACAATCATTTACTACTGTCTGGAACAGAATTCAAGTCTATCTCTATGATCGTGTCTCTCTATCCATGTCAAACAATGGAATCTGATAAAACTGGCCGACAGGCAAAAACAATCGAAAAAATTTATTGTCTTCCTGGTCACAAAGTCACTACGGTTCCTCGTGGAAAATAACTTCACTTCAGTGTGGGTTCAAATTTTTTAATATCTGAAGGATTAAGCTTTTTTTTAACGTATTTAAATGATGAGCGACCAAGATATGCAATCGCTTCTCCTCAACGGAAACAGCGTTATCAAAGAAAACAGCGTTCCAAGAACGGCCGGGTCTACGTCCCGGAGCCACTCGTCGAAGACGACCAAGAGACGTTCAAACACCCCCAAAGGGATTTCACAAGCAGGTATGTGTTTGTTTACATGTCGTCTATATGTAGTTTTCCCACTAAGAAGCAGATTCCGGCCATCTTGCTTCTTGTTACTTTTAATGGCCGGTGTTGAATCTAATCCTGGTCCTGTAATACCAGCTATTTCAAAATGGCACTGCTCTGTCTGCAACAATATTATTCGCAGAAACCAAACATCTGTTAAGTGCAATAGTTGCAATAACTGGTGCCACCTTCGTAACTGTTCAGGTTTGCATAGCCATACCAATGCCATCCAACCTCCCCCCATGGTATCGCCTTTATCTACCAATTGGCTATGCACAGTTTGCAACCGAGCAATCTCTAGGAACACCATATCTGTACGTTGCAATTTCTGTAACGGATGGTGACATCTAAGATCTTGCTCTGGATCACGCTCTCATCATGGTTGGAGTTCAAATATCGTTGGCGCCTGTTGCCAACTTCCACCTCAAAACCGCTCACTCTCTCAACGCACAGTTGAGAGAGTGACAACACATAGTTGTGTTGTCACAACTATTAACAGCTCTTTCCTCTTAAAATTCCACAGTTTAACTGCAATGGCCTTAGAGAGAAGATTTCTGAAATTGCAGCATTCATGACTTCAAATAACATCGCAGTTGCTGCACTGCAAGAGACAAAGCTTCTGCCCAACTCCACCAACTAGGATAACGCCAACTTGCTTCAGCTGTCCTGATGTCAGCCTCGCCAGCCCTAGGCTGCTCGCTCAGATCACACTCTCATTATTATCTCAATCCCATCGTTCGAGGTTTATTGCGAAGCTGACAAGAAAACCTTCAGAAATTTCAAAAAAGCGAATTGGGCCCTATTCAAAGACGTCTCAGAACGCGACTTCGGTAATATTTCTCTGTTCTCTGATTTAAACAAGACAGAGATACTATTTCGCAACATTATCATACAAATCCGCTTCCACAGCTGTTCCTGCAGGTAGAATTAGAATAATAAGGACAAATTTTCCTAGTGACGCTGTGCCCCTTGCCGAAGAACGCGATAATCTTCGCAGACTTGACCTAGCTAATCCACGCATAGCTATCCTGAACAGTAACATTTGAAAATTGATAGACGAACATCGCCATAATAAATGGAAGGAACATTTAGATAACTGTGACTCTCAAAATAGTAAATTGTGGACTACCATTAAAGCATTATCTAATCCTTCACGTCCTAACAATATAGCGGTAACTTTTAATGGGATCACTTTTCCAGATCCCAAGTATTGCGCCCAACAATTTTGTCAGTTTTTCGTGCTACCCATGCTATTCGCAGACAGATTCGCGATTTTCGGAAACCACATTCCGGCGACACCACGCTGGTTTTCCCAGATGATGTAAATAACGTGAGCAGACAAGCCAAAGCCTCGAAAGCGCTTGGGCCTGATGGCATTTCAATGCTCATGTTCAAGCACAATGGCTCTGCAATTACCTCATAGGCAGATCGTCTTTTGTTGATTTTAGGGATAAAATGTCGAAAGCCAGAAAATTAAAACAAGGTGTTCCCCAAGGCAGCGTTCTTTCACCGATCCTTTTCAATCTCTACATGTCTAAGCTCCCGGACCCTCCTGAGGGAGTTAGAGTCAAAACGTATGCTGACGATTGCACAATCTTTACGACAGGCCAGGACCCTTCTATATTGTGTAATAAATTAAATGCATACCTTCCTAATTTAGCATCTTTCTTGGCTGATAGA